TGCTGGGCTCTGGTGATCCTTCCGCCTTAGCCTTCCAAGTAGCTGGAATTACAGGCATGCGCTACCACGCCCGGCTGATTTTTTGATTTATTGTAGAGATGAGGTCTCGCTGCCCAGGCGGGTCTCAAACCCGCAGGCTCAGGCAATCCACTAACCTCAGCCTCCCAAAGGCACGGGATTACAGGCTGCGCCACCGAGCCCGATAAATTTAGTATTTTTAAAATACAAAGTAACATTTTAATTTTATATGTTTTCAGAACTGAGACTAATATATAAATATAACTTTTTTTTAAACTTACTAAAGACTTTCTTAAAAGCAGATTATTTATTTATTTATTTATTTATTTATTTATTTATTTATTTGAGTTGGAGTCTCATTCTGTTGCCCAGACTGGAGTGCAGTGGCTGCTCCCAGCCACCACAGCCTTGACCTGCCGGGCTCCAGTGACCCTTCTGCCTCAGCTTTCTGAGTAGCCGGAATTACAGGTGTGCACTACCACGCCCGGCAGATTTTTGATTTATTGTAGAGATGAGGTCTTGCCAAGTTGCCCAGGCAGGTCTCAAACCCGTGGGCTCAGGCAATCCACTCATCTCATCCTCCCAAGGCAGATTATTTAAAATATTACATCTACACACCTTTATAACTTCTTTATGAGGGAAGGGAGTGATGGGAAAGCATAGTAAAAAGTTACAAATGAAGGATAAATATATACTACTAGTAGAAAAGTCAGGAAAATATTTGATTCTATTAAAATCTCACATCTCAAGACTAATTGTATTGTAACATAAATGTTCTATTAATAAGGAGAAAGGGAAAGCTGAAATTATTCTTTCAAATATCCTAAAGTTAAAATTTTCTAAATTAAAACAATCCTCATCAATTGTTATTTGACTGCAAAAGATCCTCCAAAAAGAATTACAAAAAATATATTTCTGCTATAAGACACCTACCAATTGTTGGCCGGGCACAGTGGTTCACTTCTGTAATCCCAGCACTTTGGGAAGTGGAGGTGAGAGGATTGCCTGAGTCCAGGGGTTCGAGACCAGCCTAGGCAACTTAGCAAGAACTCATCTCTACAATAAATCAAAAAAATATTAGCTAGGTGTGATGGTACGTGCCTGTAGTTCCAACTACTTGGAAGACTGAGATGGAAGAATTGCCTAAGCCCAGCAGGTCGAGGCTGCAGTGGCTGTGAGTGTGTGTCACTGCACTCCAGCGTAGGTGACAGAGTGAGACTCCAACTCAAAGAAAAAAAAAAAGAAACCTACCAATTGTTTATTACTGTAAGACAGCTAATTATACATGTTCTTTGTCTTTTCATTTAAAAGACTTTATTTCCCCCATGAAAGAAGACTTCAACGTATGGGTCTTCTTTCTTACTTTAATAAGGGCTTATTATTTACCATCAATCTAACCTGGGAAGCAACAAGTGCAAAACTTTACACTGTATTCTTCTCTCCTGTATCCTCTAAAATTTTCTAATTAAATAAACTTCAAGTAATTATACTTCTGGATTTTACTCTCTAAATATCAGTCTCACTCTCAAACTCCTCCATCTCCCAAATGGCTAGAACACAATACTAAGGCCAATTTAGCATTAAACACATTCCATCAGATTACTTCCTAAAACATTCCAACATTTAATAGTCTTTGGGATAGCCTAACAAACCGCACTGCATTACCTCTTTATCTTTTAGTCCCAGGAGCAATACTTCTTCCATAAGGGTAAGACGGATATCCTTAGAGTCTCCATCTGAGTCTTCATTGTCTGGACTTCTCTCCCGACTAGTGTCTTCCTCACTATCGATCTTCTTTTCAGAGCTCTTGCTTACTTCAGTACGACGGGCCCGATGAGTTAAAGTGGTCATTCTCAACTGTTTCTGGAGGAAGTGCTGGAAAAAATCCGTATGTGTGCTTACGTAAATAAACACATATAGCTATATTAAGATGCATGTATCTTAAAAATGTATTCAAGTAGGAAATATTTACAACTTTAAACTTTCCAACTTTAAAAGTAGGAAAGGAGGCCAGGGTCAGTGACTCAGCCAGTAATCCCAGCGCTTTGGGAGGCGGAGGTGAGTGGACTGCCTGAGCCCGTGGGTTTGAGACCCGCCCAGGCAACTTGGCGAGACCTCATCTCTACAATAAATAAAAAATTAGCCGGGTGTGGTAGCGCGCGCCTGTAGTTCCAGTTACTCGGAAGGCTGAGGCGGAAGGATCGCCGGAGCCCAGCAGGTCGAGGCTGCGGTGGTCGGGAGTGGCCATTGCACTCCAGTCTGGGTGACAGAGTGAGACTCCAACCCCAAAAAATAAATAAATAAATAAATAAAGTAGGAAAGGAAAGAGTAATGACCAAAAAAACAGGGTGGTTAACACAGTGTCCTTTCCAAAATACAATAGCTTGGACTCCATAGATGGCACAGATAAAAAATCAAATCAGTAACTCTAAAGTCCAGTAGAAATGATCACTTTTTAAGCTTGCTGATTTCTTGTGTGTTATGTATAACCTAGTAGTGAATGTCTACCACTGTCACTCCTCTTTCACAAAATGAATCTTCAAGTTAAAAAAGATGGAATAGCAAAAAATTGTGAGCGTTCAGCCCCAAAATTCATGTGATAATTTATATATAATTTCTGCAAACATTCAATGGTACTACATTATGAAACATACACAAAAAATAGAAAGGAAAACAGAATAAGAAAAACTAAATAGAAATACATGTTCTAATATGTTCTAATGACACTTCATGCACTCACTTTGGAGATCGCTAGCCCAGAGGATTACACTCAGAAAATCATGTGTAGTAATTCTAGTTAGCATCTCTAGCCCTAGTTAGCCATCCTGCAAATACACACACAGCTACTAACAAAAAGTACTGGCAAGAGAGTGTTAGATTAGCAAATTCTCAATTATTTTTAAAAAAAATCAAAGAACATGCCTTTTATTTATGCATCACAGTTGTTTAAAAAGCCTACAGTCAAAAGAAACTGCACTAAATCAACTGTGGTAAAGTTTAAAGTTAGCATACCTTATTTTACATAAAACTTTGATGTCAGTTTTTAAGATGATATACAACAAATATTTTAAATTAGCTACTATGTTAAAGAATATCTTTTTCAAGATCAAAAGAATAGCATTTGAGAGTTACTATGACTGGGCTCAGCTCTACCTTCTAGGAGTACTTTCCGTTACTCCCATTATGTACTGTTGTCACACACTTGCTCAAAAATGCTCATGCTTTCTATCTGCCTCTGCCCTGCTGTACTTGCTGGGGTTCTCTTCCATTTCGCTTGCTCTCTACATTCTACCCATTTTTCAAAGGCCTATTGACCCACTGGAAAACCATAAGTGAATCTCCTTTTCCATTACTGATATGCCCCATAGCCAGAACTGGTCACTCCCTCAGCTGTACTTCCACAGAACTTTATACTTACTTCCTTTAAAGTATTTATTATAATCTCTCTTTTGGTATGGCTGTCTCTCAACTGTAAACTTCTTGAGAGCAGTGATAATTTCTTGGGTTTTTATATTCTCCATAGCAACTAACACAACATCTTTAACGTTGTAACTGCTCAATAAACATATACTGATTAAAATGAATACTCGGAAATGCATGTGAACATTTAAAGTAGAAATACAAATGAAGTAACTTACCAAAGATTCTTTTGTACAAGGGTATATTTAAAATATAATTTTTTAATGAGAGGCGAGAAGAGTGAAGGAGGAAGAGAACCATGACATAAATGCTTAAGGGCACTAACCCTATATCTGGCACTGTGACTAGGGATTATTTCCTAAACCAATCCAAGAAACTTGAAACCTTCGGGGGGAAAAATAAATGAGAATTTCCTTTGAGAAATTAATTTCCCCGGACACTTATTAGTTAAAAATCTTATTTTTAAGAAAAGGCCAAAAGGAAATAAAAACTTCCATCTCCCCATAAAATTAAAAATTTAGAGTGTTTTTTTGGACGTTAGGAAATGTAATTTTCTCGTTGCTTACCTGATGTCACGGCTGGACGCAGACTGCAGCTTGCGCTCTATTTTAGGAGGACACCTGTTCCCCCTACCCCACCCCCGTCTCAGTAGGTGAAAAACTTCTCAGCCACACAGAGAGCGCAAACTTCCTGATCCTTCGATGCAGAGAAGGAATAACACATCAGCTTCCTCAGGATCGCTAGGCAACCTACCTTGGTGTTTCTTTATTGGGCCAATAAGAAATCACCAAGGTTGAGTCCAGCCAATCGGAGCTTACGAGAGGCGGCCCTTTCCCCCCCCCTTCGCTATTGTGTTGCGATCCAGACAAACACCACCAAAAGGAGGCAGGTTTGGGTTCAACCTGACAGCCAGTCAATCCAATGAAGGAACCTTGGAAAAGAGGAAAGCGAGCAGCGCTCCCCACCCCCATTAAACCGGCCAATCAAAGCGTTCAGTGAGCTAACACGGACTGCCAATCTCGGAAGGTTTCTAGTGGTCAATTTCAGTGCAGCAGGTGTGTCCCAGCGTATACTGGGACAATTAGGTGACATAGTGGGATTCAAGCAAAATAGTCAATAAACAAACATATTAAAATTGGTTGCTTCCAATAATCTTGACTGTTCCAGAAAGACATGATCTGGGTCATTTTGTGGGCATTTATTTGGTTTACCTTAAACGGGATGGGTATACTTCTACCACCACGTACCTACCAACATTCGTACAACGCTTATTACTGGTAAGTCCACGGATAATGTACTTTTTTTGACATTTAATGTACATGGCTGCTGAAACTACAAGAGGTAAACAGACCAAGTTTTAGGTCTTCCTTTTCTAAAGCAAAGAAAAGCAAGGCTGGAACTATCTCCCAGGTATTTCATTAAAAGCACAGTGTCTTTCATACCACCACTCAAAAGTTCTAGAACGTGTGCTCAACTGCAAAGTAATACTTATCGAAATGATCTAACATTTCCTGCTATTGAAATAAAAATTAGAGCCACAAAAGAGCCTACATACTGAACAATAGTTTATATATGCTGCTAAAAATGCCTGTAGTAAAAAGTTTTTTTTTTTTAAAGATAAAGGACTGATTTTTAAATTGTACATTATATATCATGGCAATACAGTATATCAAAGTATTGAAAAAATTGTCTATTTTATTTATATTTTTTGAGTTGGAGTTTCACTGTGTCACCCAGGCAGTGGCAGTGGCACGCTCACAGCCACCGCAGCCTCAACCAGCGAGGCTCAGGCGATCCTTCCACCACAGCCTTCCAAGGAGCTGGAACTACAGGCAAATGCCAACAAACCCGGTCAATCTTTTTATTTATTGTAGAGATGACGTCTCAACAAGTTGCCCAGGCTGGTCTGGGCTCAGGCAATCCTCTCACCTTGGCCTTCCAAAATACTGGGATTATAGGCATGAACCACCACGCCAGGCCAAGAACATTGCTTAATTAACATACTGACAAACATAGCCAGCTAAATGGTATAGTTTTAACATTCGGAAAAACATTAATTCCTACCAAATTTTAATACCAAAGTAAACATTATTTGTTGTAAAAAAAAAAAAAAAAAAAAAGCTGGGCTCGGTGGCTCAGCCTGTAATCCTGCGCCTTTGGGAGGCTGAGGTGAGTGGATTGCCTGAGCCCGCGGGTTCGAGACCCGCCTGGGAAGCGAGACCTCATCTCTACAATAAATCAAAAAACCAGCCAGGGATGGTAGCACACGCCTTTAATTCCGGCTACTTGGAAGGCTGAGGCGGAAGGATTGCTGGAGCCCAGCAGTTCGAGGCTGCGGTGGCTGGGAGCGGCCACTGCACTCCAGTCTGGGCAACAGAGTGAGACTCCAACTCAAAAAAAAAAAAAAAGTCTTAAAACTTAATATATATTTAAATGAAGTACTGAGAAGATAATAAACAGAATCAATCATGACATTTGTACTTTTGATTTTATTGAAAAGTTCTGTTGGATTCATCTTAAATAAGATTAAGGATCACAATATGATAGTCAGCTAAGAACCTCATTTTAGTGTACAAGCTGCTTAAAACTACATATAAATTCTCAAAATTAGGGAAAACAAACTTAAAATAGTGACATAGTATTCTTTATCTTTAGTTTAAATGTTGAGAAGAACTTTGCAGATGTGAAGAAAAAATAATTTTTATATATCTTCCTTTGGTTCACTAAATTTTCTCCTTTTTGATACTGACTCTTGACTAGAAGAATAGAATTGATGGAGGACCTGTCAAGAGAAAACAACTACTAAGAACAGATACTTTCTAATTTAAATGCCTTTAATTTTACACTTTTCCCCCATGTTTCTGAGTTTTTTTTTTTTTCCTTTAAAAAAAAATTATGGCTGGGTATGGTGGCTCAAGCCTGTAATCCCAGCACTTTGGAAGGCCAAGACGAGAGGATTGCCTGAGCCCAGGAGTTCGAGACCAGCCTGGGCAACTTGGTGAGACCTCATCTCTACAACATATCAAAAAATTAGCTGGGCATGGTAGTGTATGCCTGTAGTTCTGGTTATTTGGAAGGCTGAGGTAGAGGGATCTCCTGAGCTCAGCAGGTCCACACTGGGGTGGCTGTGAGCATGCCACAGTATTCCAGCCTGGGCAACAGAGTGAGAATCTGACTAAAAAAAAAAAAAAAAAAATTATGCCTAGCATACTGCATACCTATCATAACTATTCCCACTAAGATTGGAGACTGGAGTTCTCTAAAATAGGCTAAAATGTATTGATATATTTACATCTTCTGATGACTGCTGAAAGTATAGATTTGCAAATAATCCCAGCACCTTGGGAGGCTGAGGTGAGAAGACTGCCTGAGTTCACGGGTTGGAGACCAGCCTGGGCAACTTAACTTGGCAAGACTTCATCTTTACAATAAATCAAAAAATTAGCCAGGCATGGTGGAGCATTCCTGTAGTCCCAGCTACTTGTAAGGCTGAGGTGGAAGGACTGCCTGAGCCCAGCAGGTGAAGGTTGCGGTGGCCGTGAGTGTGCCACTGTACTCCAGCCTGGGCAATAGTGTGAGTCTCCGACTCAAAAGAAAAAAAAAAAAAAGATCTTCATTGAGGTTGTTATAGTAGTTAGAAGATAGATTTAACATTATGTCTTCAAAATAGTCAAATATTTTGAGGGGATGAGAAGATAAAAAAAGATTTTAAAATGAACTACGAATAGAAAAACCTTCTACCTTGGAGTCATATAATATTTAAATCATGTCTTGATTTTGTGCTCCTGGTACTTAGCAGTGCCTGATAGATATTAGACATTCAATGCACACTTTTCAATGAAAGGTAGAATGAATTGCGTAATTTCTAACAGGATTCCCTGAGTTATCAAACTCTGATTTAGCTGGAATGAGTTACACTCACTAGGAATAACAAACTGGATAATTTTGCAGGAAAAATAATAAAGGCGTTTAATATTTGGAAAAATTAAAGAATCTAATATATTAATAAAATATCAGGTTACTCCAGTTCCTTCTTAAATTATGTAAATTAAACATAGTAATAGCTGGCTGGGTGTGGTGGTTCATGCCTGTAATCCCAGCACTTTGGGAGGCCAAGGCGAGGGGATTGCTTGAGCCTAGGAGTTCAAGACCAGCCTGGGCAACATAGCGAGATCCTGTCTTTACAAAAATCAAACAATTTGTTGGGTACAGGATAGCCTGAGCCTAGAAGGTAAGCTGTGATCTTGCCACTGCATTGTAACCTGGATGACAGAGGCCCTGAGTCAAAAAGAAAAGAAAAGAAAAGAAAATAGTATCAACTAGGTATGTTTTTTTACATTACCCTTTAACTTTTTTTTTCTTTTTTTTTGACACAGGGTTTGGCTCTGTTGCCCAGGCTGGAGTAGAGTGATATAATTATAGTCATTATAACCTTGATCTCTGGGGCTCAAGCAATCCTCCAACCTCAGCCTCCTCAGTAGCTGTGACTACAGGTGCAGGCCATTGTGTTCAGCTAATTTTTAAACTATCTTGTAGCGACAGGGTCTCACTATATGTCCAAGCTGGCCTCAAACTCCTGGCCTCTAGCAATCCTCCTATCTTGGTCTCCCATAGTATTGGGATTAGAGGTATGAGCCACGGCAGTCAACCTAATGTTTGATTTTTGTAAAGAATATTCTTTTCAATTGTCTAATTTTAACCTACTAATAACATAAAAATGTCTAGTTGGAAAATAGGAATAATTATTTCAGGAATAACAAATACATCATCGATTTGGTAAAATAAAATTCCAAATATAAAACAAATATAGGATTTAGGTTAGGAAAAGTTTTCTTTCTCCTGAGGCACTAGGAGGAGGCACTATATTTTTAGGGAATACATGGATTTGATAACTTATTCTGCTTCTACTTTAATTTTGTTTTCTAGAAAGTTAAGATCAAATTTGTGGCCGAATTTCAGCCCTCTATAAATAAAATGGCCTGAATATTCTTTCCCTCCCCCTCGAATCACCTTCCATATAACTGAATATTCTTGTACTTTCTCATACTACTCATATTTTTCCTGAAATTGACTTTTTTTTTTGAGTTGGAGTCTCACTCTGTCACCCAGACTGGAGTGCAGTGGCCGCTCCCGGCCACCGCAGCCTCGACCTACTGGGCTCTGGCGATCCTTCCGCCTCAGCCTTCCAAGTAGCTGGAACTACAGGCGTGCGCTACCACGCCCGGCTAATTTTTTTATTTATTGTAGAGATGAGGTCTCTCCAAGTTGCCCAGGCAGGTCTCGAACCCGCGGGCTCAGACAATCCACTCACCTTAGCCTCCCAAGGCACGGGATTACAGGTTGAGCCACTGGGCCCGGCCTGAAATTGATTTTTAATGTATTTTATAAATTCCTCTAATTACTTTAAATCATACATGAAATGAGACAGTAGATATTTACATGGAAAAAATTAATAAACCAATGTAGTGCATCTTATTTAAATATCATCTCAATTTTTTTTTTTTTTTTTGAGTGAAGTCTCACTTCGTCGCCCAGGCTAGGCTGGAGTGCAGTGACACACTCATGGCCACCCCAGCATTGACCTGCTGGACTCCAGCAATCCTTCCACCTCAGCCTTCCAAGTAGCCGGAACTATAGGTGCATGGTACCCTGCTAATTTTTGATTTATTGTAGAGAGGAGGTCTTGCCAAGTTGCCTGGGCTAGTCCCGGACCTGCGGGCTCAGGTAATCCACTTGCCTCGGCCTCCCAAAGTGTTGGGATTACAGGTTGAGCCACTGAGTCCAGCCCATCTCAATTTTTAGAATAAAATATGTTTAAATAAGATTTGAATATTTGATATCTCAGGTATATCCAGAGATATCAAATTTATCATGTAAAATTTAATCTATACTAATGATATTCTTATACTTGTCATTTTATTCAACCTATAATTATCATAAAACTTACTGTTTTCCTAGATTCGGGTTGACTTCTCTTCTGATTTTCTTTAGAAGATTTTATTGGTTGATTTTCATTTGCCTCCACAAAGATAGAATAATTGTTAATTGGTTATTGCACAAAGAACAGCCAATACTTGATTTTTCAACCTTATGCAACTATATGCAGTTTTTAAGAAACAGCTTTATTGAGATATAATTTGGGTCCTATATGATTCACCCATTTAAAGGTGTACAACATGTACAATTCTCACAGAATTGTGCAATCATCACCACAATCAATTTCTACTTTCATTGTCCCCAAAAGAAACCTCACACCCTTTTTTTGTTTGTTTTGAGTAGGAGTCTCACTTTGTCACCCAGGCAGGAGTGAAGTAGCATGATCACGGCCACCACAGCCTCAACCTGCTAGGCTCAGGTGATTCTTCCACCTCAGCCTTCCAAGTAGCTGGAACCACAGGTGTGCGCCACCACACCTAATTTTTTAATTTATTGTAGAGACGAGGTCTTGCCAAGTTGCCCAGGCTGACCTTGAACCCATGGGTTCAGGCAATCCTCTTGCCTCCACCTAGAAACCTCACACCATTTAGCTATCAGAATCCTAGTCTTCCATCCTCCCACCAGCCTTAAGACTTTCTGTCTCAACAGCTTTCCCAATTCTGACTTTCAAATAAATGAAATAATGTCATCTGTGAACTTTTGCGACTGACTTCCTTCAGTCAGCATGTTTTCAAGGTTCATCCAAGTTGTAGTATATATTGGTACTTCATTCCTTTTTATGACTGACAGATACTCCATTGTATGGATATACCACATTTTGTTTATCCATTTGCCTGTTGATGAACATTTAGTTTTTCTCACCCTTTGGCTATATATAATGCTGTATATGCAGCTATTAAAATGAGTAATGGAAAATGATAAATTACTAGCTGTCATAAAACTATTCTCTAAAAGGACATAATTCTTTGCTGATGCTTGAGATGCCCTTTCCAGAGATAACCTCCTTAGTGAATATATTATTGAAATTTAAAAAAAATTTTTTTTAGTTGGAGTCTCACTTTGTCATTCAGGCTGGGGCGCAGTGGCATGCTTACAGCCAATGCAGCCTTGACCTGGGCTCAGGTGATCCTTTTACCTCAGCCTTCCAAGTAGTTGGAACTACAGGCACGTGTCACCATGCCTGGTTAATTTTTTTGATTTATTGTAGAGATGAGGTCTCACCAAGTTGCCCAGGCTGATCTCGAACCCCTGGACTCAGGCAATCCTCTTGCCTCGGCCTCCCAAATGCTGGGATTACAGCGAATATTTTTACCCAGTAAATATTTTCAATTCCTGTAATTTCCTAACCATAATTCAGTAATGATTATCAAAATCAGGAGTACACTGGCTCAGAGTTCATATCCAAAAACATGTGCAATTTCAGAGAAGAATTTATGTCCCCACAGCATCGCTCTCTTTTTTTTTTGAGTTGGGGGGTTTCACTCTGTCACCAAGATTGGAATGCAGTGGCAGGATCATGGCTCACCACAGCCTTGACCTTCGGGGCTCAAGCAATCCTGAGTAGCCAGGACCATAGGGCACCACCACGCCCAGTTAATTTTTTTATTTTTATTTTTGTAGAGATGGGGTCTTACTATGTTGCCTAGGCTGGTCTTGAACTCCTGGGCTCAAGCACTCTTCTAACCTTGGCCTCCCAAAGTGCTGGGATTACAGGTGTAAGCCACTACACCCAACCCTCAAAGCATCTTAATGTTACATTACAAGGAAATCTTGCTTAATAATGTTTTTAAATGCTTGTCTCTATCCATGTATCCTAGTAAAGGACACTCATCCTAAATAGAAGCTGGCTAGGAAGAACATTTTGCTGCCAGAAGTAGTAATTCTTGGCATTCCTTGATCCTTTGCTTTCATCAGCATAGTTTGAATGCTGCCTTCTGCCAGTTCTAACTTCCCATTGAGATTATGAGGGGGAAGATACCTAAAAATGGCACTAATAATCAGTAGTGTTCTGGTAAATATTTAATAACCAGCTTTATGAGAGAAATAAACACCGAGACATTTGTTCATTTCTACACTGTGAATGCTACCACCATGTCCAATTTTAAGCTCCAAAATGATGTCACTGTATGAGGAGTTGGGAAGAAATGTCCTTACACACCACTGATAGAGTGAGCTGTTAGTTTCCTAACTTTGGCTATTTTACATATTTTCCAGAATGGTTTTTCTTCACTGCTGAACTTTTGAGAGTAACTTAAAGGTCCAAAATCAAATATTAATTTCTATTTAGTATTATTCATACCAAAACTAAAATAAATGATTTTTGTTTAAAACATGAGATTCATCTTACACAAGATATATACGAAAGATTAATTTGTAATATCTTATTAACAAGATAATCAAATGGCAAGATAGACTAGGAGAACATACGGCAGTCCAGGAAATTTCCTTGGGAGTCAATAATAGTATCATTTCTTCTTAAAGCCTTTCCTGGATTCATCTCTCTAAATACCCTCAGTAAAATTAACCATTCCTTCCTTTGTACTTCAGTGTAGCCTATTCAGACTTCTATAATAGCCTTATATTATTGTTTGTTAATTGCCAGTTACTAAAACTTTAGCTGAAACCAGGAACTATATGTTATTCAGGTTATCTATCTAACACCTGGTAAAGTATGTGACACATAATAGGTACTTAGTAAATATTTTTCTAATAAATGAAACATTAAAATAAACTCATATATCAGTATGGGGAAAATTTACAAGGTTAGAACAGAAAACAAACCCAAAGAGATATTTACCATTTTATTCTGAAAGATTTTTCCACTTCTTGTTTTACTTTCAGACACATCAAGTTTAGATGTTTTATTGACTAACTGCTCAAAGTAGAAAACAATTATACAAAACCACAATAAAACCTTTTCATAACACAATAAATAGGGTCCCCAAATTTAATTACATAACTTCATCCTGTTAAGTTAGTGAAACCAACAATTTTGACTTGTTTCATATTGTCACAAAAAGCACAAAAGTAAAGACAGTGAAACCAACACTTTACACAAGTAACTCAGTGCTCACCAGGCACTATCATTTCAGAAGATAAGAAATTTAGCCCATTCTCATTTGAGAAAGGGTGCTTGGCAGAGGAAGGCAGACAATCAATTCTATTATTTCCAAGTGCACATTATCTACATCTGTTATTTCAGAATTTTACTGCATGTAGAAAACAAAAATTAAACATGTTCTGCTCCAAGGTAACAAAAATGTATTATGTACTCCATTTATAATTACAAAGCTGAGTGGAATAAATAATTGTGTAAGATTCTGTCTAGAATTGTACATCTTTAAAATTAAAAATTAAAAAAAAAGATTTTATCTGGCTTTGAAATTCTGAGATTCTATGAGTAGTAACTAGGCTTATTACTAAACAAATCCACCAGTAATACACTCAAAACTTTTCAAAATATAATTGTCAGATTTTGTTAATAGCATTCTAAATACCTAATTTTATTCTAAAAGACCTAGAATAAGAGCATCTGAGAAATAAGTAAATAAGCATACTCGTATAAGCAAGTCTTTTAGAAAAAAAAAACAAAACTTAAAAGTGAGATGGGACTATCAAGTTTATACCTGAGAGAGAGAAGTGGAATGATATGGATTTTCTTTAGACCTCATAATTTCGTCTTCCTCACAAACTAAACTTGGCTCTGTATAAAAAAATAAAATTGAAATGGCATAAAATTGAACTGAAAGTGAGCTAATACACATTTTCATTTTCTTACCTCCAAATTCAGAAGATCCAAAGCTTTTTTTCTGCTTTTCCATTTTACTTTCAATGTCAAACTCATCCTGTATAATTATATAAAGAAAAAAAGGATACCTTTTTTAAAAATTAAAATTGGGCAGAAATATTTATGAACAAATTTGTTTCATTTGAAGGCTAAACTACAACTATTTTATTTTTATTTATTTTTATTTCTTTTGAGTTGGAGTCCCACTCTGTCACCCAGACTGGAGTGCAGTGGCCGCTCCCGGCCACGGCAGCCTCAACCTGCTGGGCTCCCGCGATCCTTCCGCCTCAGCCTTTCAAGTAGCTGGAACTACAGGCGCGCGCTACCACGCCCGGCTAATTTTTTGATTTATTGTAGAGATGAGGTCTTGCCAAGTTGCCCAGGTGTCTCGAACCCGTGGACTCAGGCAATCCACTCACCTCAGCCTCCCAAAGGCACGGGATTACAGGCTGAGCCACTGAACCCGGCTAACTACAACTATTTTATACTTGCTTGAAATAAAAGTAGTCCTGGAATTGGGTTGATGCATAAGTTTGTAGCGTTCATTTTTGGCATGGCAACACTGTGGTGTCTATCATTTGTTATTGGAGTGACAATGTTGTGCCCCAGCTAATGTGAATACACCTTGCATTTTACAGATTTGAAGAAAGTTAGTGCTACTTGTTTTTTTTTTTGAGTTGGAGTCTCAGGCTGGAGTGCAGTGGCACACTCATGGTCACCCCAGCGTTGACCTACTGAGCTCCAGCGATCCTTCTGCCTCAGCCTTCCAAGTAGCTAGAACTACAGGCATGCACTACCATGCCTGGCTAATTTTTTGATTTATTGTAGAGACGAGGTCTCACCACGTTGCCCAGGCTGATCTCGAACTTGCGAGTTCAGGCAATCCTCTTGCCTTGGTCTCCCAAAGTGCTGGGATTACAGGCTTGAGCCACTGCACCCAGCGCTAGTGCTATTTGTAGGCTAAAGAAGATGGAGTGTCA